GCAGGAAAACTGCCAATGGAAAGAGAAACTTTCCTTCTCACAGCAAGAAAAGCAAAAAAATCTGTGAACTGCTGATGGAAACAGATGGAGATATTGGCCAAGAAGTGGAAAGGCCTCAGCTGGGAGAGCATCCCCCATGTGAGGAAACACTAGAGAGGGTTATGAGGACAGTCTGCCCTAGACAACTAGCCTTGATCCTTTCTCTGGGAAACTTAACATCTATCAGTGTCTTCCATTTTTCTTCCTTTTTTTTGATTCTGCCTTAATTTTTTCTCAACTCCCTTCTTTCTTAGATAGAAGCATCAGGAAAAAATAGAATACAACTGAGTTGCAACTACCATTCATACAAAGAGGCAAAGCAGGGCAGTAAGAAATGGTTGAAGGTCATTATAGAGGTCTTTGAGCTTTCTTTGCTACCTGTCCTGTCTTTTGGGAAGTTATCAGTGTGATGTTCAGTTCTCATATATGCAGACACCAAAGAACAAGTCATTCATGAAACTGACTTGAAGGGTCTTCAAATACTTGTGGAGATTGTTGGGCAAGCAAGAACTATGTCAAGTTTTTTTTCTTTAACAATTTCAAAGTTATCTTAGAAAAAAACTGCAAATTTAGTCTATATTCTACCAAAACCTCTCAACAATGTCCAAGTTCCCAGCCCATGTGAAAGACATCCTGCTATCACACACAGAATGGCAGTTTCCCTTAACCAACTGATTTATTTATCTGCCATTTGGCATCACTGGGTTCAACTTTGCAATGATTGTTGATGAGCAGGTACTTGATGATAAGAACATAAGAAATTTAGGCTGGTCACAAGCTTGGGACCTTTCCTAACTCATCCATTAGGTGGTGCTCCAAGAGTACCAACAGAGAAGGTTTTGCAGCTCTTCGGTAGCTCCAGGAGGAGCAGAAATATGTTTAACATGATAGACTTCAAACTATGGTAGCAAAAGTTGGACCATAGCAGTGAACATATTCAGGAAACAATTTGACTTTCCCTTCTTGAATGTGTAAAGTCTCTGTAAAACACACTGTTTACACTGCTTCTACTTGGCACTTGTATAGTTCATTGGCTATTGGATTAGATTTCTATATTGTCCTCTCATCCTGAACAAGAGAAGCAAAAAATAAATAAATACAATTATTGAGTGTCCATGGTAACCAAACTAACAAAAATAGCTCATTCAGCAAACTGCCATTTCGTATTCAAAGGATTTGCAAAACTTTCTCATGGCAGCAGTTTGTAAACATTTTTCAGTCTCTAATTCTGTATAAATGTAAGCAGATCAGGAATACAAAGTACTGTTTATGCTATCAGCCAGCTCCACATTCTTCAAGGTCCCAACAAAGCACACTGGGAAACTCTAAGCTATGAGGCTAATATATAAATAGGGCAATTCAACTATTTACCCAGATAAGAAACAGGAGGGACAGTATCTCTTCTCTTCATGCCCACCCTAAACATATGAAAACAGTGCAAAAATACAAACAGTAGCCAAATTCTATATAATATGTAGGTTCTGGCCTTGCAACTCAGCCTGCACAGAACTGGTTACTGGAGATAGCCAAATGCTGGGGCCAACAATTCCATCTTCAGACATGTTTGATAGCACACTGCTTGATGCTGATTTCTTCAGGTCCTCTGCATCTACCAATGGCAGCAGAAAACTGAAATACTCAATTCACATTAGTGACCTTGCAATACAAGGAGAGGCTGGAGAAGAGCAGGCTCGGGAAGCTCTCAATGTATATAAATACCTACTGGGTGGAGAGTAAAGATGACTGAGACAGTGTCTTCTCAGTGGTACCCAGAGAAAGGCCAAGTGCCAATGGCCAATAAAAAAAGCCTCTAGGAGTGTTACTGCAGTTTTACTGAAGAGTGGCCAAACACTGGGAAATGTTGCCCAGAGAGGTTATGGAGTCTCTGGAAATATTCAAAACCCAGCTGGACAAGGTCCCAAACAACCTGCTGCAGGTAACCTTGCTTTGAGCAGGGGACTTGGACTAGATGATGCCCAGAGGTCCATTCCAAGAAGCAGTTCTGGGACCCTAATGTGCAGTTAACAACCTCCTTGCATTGGCAGGCACAACTGCCCCAGCCCAGAGTCTGTGCACCTTCCTGGGAGAAGCAGAGGTAAGTGGAGGTACTCATCCCTTTCCCTCTATCCAGGGTCAACAGCAAAATGATAAGGATGAACATCAGATCTGAGGGATAAACTTGGCTTGTCTTTCCAAGGCCACCCTCTGGGAAACAGAGAGAACCTGAGGCTGAACCAGCACTGTCCATCCTGGCTGAACCAAGAACATCGTCCTTGCTTGCATCAAGCTTAGACCTGAAAAGGTCAGATGGCAGAGATAAAGAGAGCATCATTTTATGAAAAGATCGAAGGTAAAATCTTGTCCCAAATGAAGGCAGCAGGAGCTCTGCTAATATCTCAGACATCATTGAAAAATCCTTCTTGCTTGAACGGTGCCGTCCTATGAGATTTAAGGCATCCACCCCACACTACCTTCTTCCTGAACTGCTGTCTTAAAGCCATTTGGGTTTCCTTCCATCCCCTAATTTTTTTGAAAGGCACTCTGCCTTTGTGGTCAGGTTCCTCATTCAATTTGACCAAGTTAAAACACAGCCAGAGTCCAACCACTTGTTCTGAGGCCAACACTGTTCTATAGCTTACGTGGGGTTTTTCTCCCCACTGATTGCACTTCCAGATGTGTACAGAGCAGACACAGCATCCCTCAGCCTATCCCACCCTGCTATGGTCTGCACAGAGGGGACTTGAGCTGTGCATGTTGCTCCATAGGAGACTTCAAGGGTGTCCTGCACTGTCACATTCACATTTCCCTAGAAATAACCCTCAAATCCTCCAGTGGTTGCATTTATTGAAACCCCTGCAGTTCCTGCAAAATTCTTTCTGATTTTTTTTTCAATAATCACTGTCTTAATTACACCCATCCCAGCTAATATGTGAGCTTTTCTCTGCTCTGTGCAAGGGCAGCTCATCTGCACACAGAGTCACCATTGTGGATGGACAGAGCGTGGGGCTGGAGCCAGGAATTTATGAGGTCTTATCCCCAGCCTGCCAGTGGCCTTCCGTGTGGCCTTGGAAAATAACACTTAACATCTTTGTTGTTTTAGCTGTAAAATGGGAATAATAATCTTTATTCATCCACCTCAAAGAGGCGATGAGAGGATTTTATGCAGTGCTCAGGACTTAAATGTTTCCAAACAAATTTTATAATAACCAGTCAGGGTTTTTAAATGCATTCTCAGCTCATCTCTTGCCACCTCCTCTGCACTTGGTGATAGTGGTTGCTTTCCTTATTCCCCTGAGTATTCTAGAGCTAGCTGGATTACAGAGCCATTATAACCAAAATAGGTCTAAGTGGAATAATTTGCCCAAACATTGAATTATATTAATCTCAAATGTATCCACAGTTTCCAAAATTTGGAACCAGCCTTCCTACTACTGAAGTCAAAAGGGCAGAAGCAAGCCAGCTCATCTTTCTCCCATTTGAAGAATAATGCACTGCACATACCCTGTTTACTTATTTGCAGCATCCCATCCCATCAAAACTCCCAGTCACTTTGGGAGTCAATGTCAAGAAAACACAGAGTGGTTTGTTCTTGGTGTGGCTGCTGAAGCCACCACAGATATGGAGCAACCTTTGCAGAACACTACCCTAACAATGGAACTGGTAAATGAGTGGGCAGCAGTCAAACATGGTTGAAGCCTTCACATCAGTCCCTCTGGTACATCATTTGTTTGAAGCACTAAGAGAAAAGTGGGGAGTCAGGAAAGGGCTGAGAGCTCCTGCAAACCTACCCCAGGCACAGCTCAGCCAAATGCTGCCCCCTCCCCAAACATACCACCCAGCCAGTGCCAAGCCTGGTGCTCCTTGTCAGGGCTCAACCTGCCTCAAAGTCCAGAGGTGATAACTTACACGAAGTGCTAATTCAGTAAAACCGTGTCAGATCGCTTGAACTTGTCCCTGAAGTAATTTCAGTATGTGATCACCAAGGAATATCTTACATTTTTTCATCTTACCAAGGCAATTAATGCAATCCTGAAATTATTGAAACTTTTGAATGTACAGTTGCCTGTGTTTGAGAATATTAAAAAATAAGTACATTTGAAGGAGTGGAGTACCTTCAAGCAAGAATCAGTGAAAGGTTGGTTGCTATGCAACTGAAGTATTGTCCATATTATTCTTATCAACAGATGACATATTGTATAAAATAATATAATCCTCGAAGAAAACCCACAATACAGTGGAAGGCTGCTCAGGGGTGGAGAATTGGCAATAGCTGAGAGTGCTGTCATAAACCTGACGTTGATGGTACATACTTCATCAATTACAGAACCATAATGTAATTATTGTGATTATTTAAATGGCACCCTTGATAATATATATAAATTGCCTGCAGTGAAGCAAAGGAATCTGAAAATACCAGCTCCATGCTTTCAAAAGAAATGCTTACTCAAACAAGACTGGGGTAATGCTTTCAGAATGTGAAGCCAACTAAGCTGCTTCATTCATGCACTGCCTTAAGTTGTACACATGCCCTTCCTTTTATTAGGCACTTTGAATATATATTCCCAGAAATTGTTAATGCTGGTGTGTGGGATAGTAAAGTATTGAAGGCTTTGTTAGAATTCCTCAGAACAGGTTCAGAAAGTGAGAACCATACACCTTTTCTCTCTGCTTTTCCACTGCTAAATAATCCCAAACCTCTGAAGAGAAATCTCCACACCTACACCCTGGTACTAGTCCTCTGATCAGGAGCTTTAAAAACATGAGCATAAAAGAAAGTATTCTTATACAGACATGGCATGCAGGTCCCCACACCGTCCAGTGGAGAGCTCTGAAATTATATCTTTTACATTCTTTTTACTTCTTTTTTTTTTCCAGAAAGCCATAAATTGCCTTTTATGTAAATAAGAATCAGATACAGAAATGCAAGAAAAATTATCTTCATGGTTATTTAGGGCAGAATTATGCCCTGCTGAAACTAGCAGCACGACTCAGAAGCTAAAAAATCATCCACTGCAGATTGTGGATCTAGAATCCACAAACAGATTATCCACAAGCAGATTCCACAGTGCTCCCTGCAACTGCTACTTTTGTGACGTGGCCAAACACCCACCAAGAAGCAATGACTTCTGTCCTCCACCTCACTCTCCTCACTAAAGAAGATTAATATGCAGTCGATAACTTTCAAATTATCAATGAAGCCTCACTAAAGAAGATTAATATGCAGTCAATAACTTTAAAATTATCAATGAACAAGGCTCTGCTCTTCACAAGAAGATAAAGATTCTTAAGGTGAAATGAAGACTGTCATAGCTATTGTTTGCTGTCAGGAAATGGCAGAAGTTATCAGAGTTCAGACTGGAGCAGATCCATAGAGCTACAGATGGACACACATAACAATTATGAAATACCCAGGAATTAAGGACTGCAAAGAAGTGACTAGCCCATGCACTAATTCTGATGGCATCCACCACTATTGCAATATCAGATTTTTACCAGATTTATTTGTCAATCTGCAATCCCTCGAGTTGTCATTACAGCAATCACATGGATATTTCAATTATTTTGCAATTCAATGTTAACCACACACCCCATGAATTTCAGTCACAAAGTGGCAAATGTGACCCTTTTTACCTTTTGTTTTAGGACATACATCCAATTAAGCTTATTTAAAACATGTAACTCCATTATCATCTCCAGCACTGCAGGAAAAGCAGAGATGGAGCTGTGATTTCAGCTCTCAGAGGGGGAAGCTCCAACAGAACAATTTAACCCAAATGCAGGTAACCAGTAAGGACAATATATGAATTAATACACAAAACCAATACGTGTCACCAGTAACTACACTGTTTGTAAAAGAAGGAAGTTGATAGATACTGATATCCTCCATTTAAATTAACCTTTACTTACCTTGCCATAGCTCAGCAGGATTATCCTCACCAAGACAACGTTAATGTGAGCACCCAGGGACTCGTCATGATAAATTTCATTAACCTGCAAAAGAGTTCAGTGCTTTAACAATGGCATTGGCAGCAAGTCACTATGAAAGCAGTGATACAGCCAGTACCTTTTATGCCCTGTCATTAGGCCAAAGATCACTCTGTGATCATATAGAACATGAAAAATTCTGCTAATGTGAGAGGGAACATTTTCTTTTCCAAACTCTGCTGTAGTCTCCCAACAGGTCATAATTCAGGAAGTCATTTAAAATCAACATGTAATCAGAGGCTTCAGATTGACAGGTTTGTTAGTGTCAGCCTATATGGTGTAAGAAGCATCATGGTGCTGACCTGTGTGTTCCTGCTGGAGCCCAGAGCACAGTAATTCAGGCAGATTCCCAAATAGCTCTCTGCTGGGCAGGACCACACGTGGGGAAGGGGATGGTGAGCAGAGGGACAAGACCTCTCTCCTGAGAGCCATTCACTGGATCAGCTCAGCTGCACCCTACAACTCTTCCATCTGGGACCCATCACATCACAGTCTGCCAAGAGGATATACCTCCCTCAAAAAGCTGGTCAGCCACATGGGCTGCCTTTATTGTGTGTCAAAACTCATCAGTGTTAAACTTTGCAAGCAGAACAAAAGCTACAAAATGCCAGCAAATTATAACTATCTTCTTCTTTTATACTAGAGCTACATAACTCAACACGCTCATGGGGAAATCACCCTAGGAACACCGAAAAGAAAATTGTAAATATTTAGAGTAAAGAATGAAATGTGGATGAATAATGATTACTGAGGAAACACTGCTACAAGCAAATATAAACTGCTAAAGAGGCTGATTTTAGTATTCAGTGATGAAGACTGCATGAGACTTGGCCAAATGGCAGAGGTTTAGCTTTACAAATTAGAAGAGGCAGATGAGATCCCCTGCAAGGCAAGTGCCTTTCCTAAAACCTCCTTCCCTTAGTAAAGGTTGCACTGAACTGGACTGACTTGCTGGCCAGACCCAAATTTCATTTATTCCTACAAAACAGATTAATTACTGCAAGCTTATAAGTAACTTCCAGAAAACCTTTCATTTGAAACATAGTAAATGATGCCCTGTTACTCCTATCAGCCCCAGTTTTAACAGCCCATCTTTTATAGCTGCAAAAATCATTAAAATTAAATACATCAGTGGAGTCTTTGCTAAGCAATCCCCATTGACATTTTAAAGTGAATTTTAATTCATTTGATCAGTATTTTTGGATAGAAGAGCCTTATTTTAATGCCTGGTAGACATCCAAGTTTTCAGCAGTCCTGATGGGTTGGAAATGGTGAACTGCAGCTCTGGGCTATGCTCACACCCTGCAGGGCACCTGCCCAGGCACCTGGGGAACATGCTGGGGGATGCCCAGGATCCAGTCTCATTACTGGTTGATAAGCCAATCCTTGGCTGGAAGATTGTGGGTGAGGAGCCCATGGCTCTGACTGGCTTCAGGGGCTGCTGTTTTCACTGCAGTTTAGAAAGAGATGCTCTGTTCAGATCTGCTTTACAAACAGCCCCTGTGGAAAATCAGATAATTTCTTTATATGTCTAAATAAGACTTTAGAAGATGAACTTCATATTCCTGCATTTTAAAATATCTCTTACTTTTACATTGAGGACCACTGGCAAACACAGATTATAAAGAGGTAAGACATAAACACAAATTTTGCTTTACAAAGATTCTTTCACCCAGGAAAAAGACCCTTGTGTGTTGTCAAGGGAGTCAGGGATATTAATTTGCTTCCCTCTTTGTGTGGTGTGAAGAGAGTACACCCATCAAGGATATGAGGTTGAAATAAGCTGTAAATTACCTATACATGAAACGAGTATTAAACAAAAACTCCTGTGTATAGAGGACAGTAAACAGAGCATGTAAATAAGTATTTAATTAGTTCATGAAGCATAATCCAAATTGCTGCACATCGCTCTCTCATTAACTTCCAAAATTTAACCTAAGCCTCTTTGAACAATAGCTGAGTAACAGAACAACTGTATCGCTGTTGTGTGCCAAAAGGAAACTTGGCTTGAAAATGTTGATGGAGCAGAATTAAAACACTGTTTGACTGTTCATGCAAATGACATTTAACAAACAAATTGTGAATGAACAGAAAAGCACAAGCACTGTAAAATGCTGCTTGCTTCTCTTGGGAACCTGGATTTTCAGCAAGACAGTGGGTCAATTCAAAGCTCTGGGTCTTGGTTTTATTATTAAGGATGAGTCCAACCTCCTCCTCACACAGTCCCTTCCTATAAGCTAAGCTATGGCTTTGGTTGTAATGTCTTACTGCACATAGATAATATGCTGAAATAGATGCTTTTTTTTTTTTTCAGCATGGCCTAAATTGCACCTATTTGTGTCAGGAAGCTAATAAAGATATGAGGTCCAAGCAACTGAAAGTTGTACTCTCAAACATTCATGAAAAGTGCACACACTGAAAGGGCCTCCACAATTCCTAGCTCAGATTGTCCAAATTTCTGCCTGTTAGTTCAACAGGAAAGCAGAGTCAAGCTAATGCAGCTCAATTGTATAGGGCAGAAAATGACCAACCAACTTGTGGAATTGAAAAGCTCCAGCCTTGACAGCAACTCACAACTTTGAAACATAGTCTTTCAAAGCAAAGATAATCAGACAATGGATATATATGTCCAGATGTCAGTGGAATAAATACACACAGGTGGGAAACCAAGTGCATAGTACTTATACAGCACTGCATCTCCGTGTACTTCAGTAGGACATCCTGGTTCATGTCAACAGAAGAAAAATCAGTCAATCTCCTGTTGTTCTTAGATCAGTGAGTCTAAAATTAAGTTGCTGCCTCGGAAAATAAAGTACACAGAGACCACCCCAAAATCAGAGCTCCTGATCTGAAGGCAGCAAATGCATTAAATCTTGTTAGAAGTCCTATAGTGATTCAGCATTTGTAGGGGGTGATGAAGAAGACTGTGCAAATCTCAAAGAATTCAAAGCATGGTGAAACACTGTAAAGAGACTTTCATCAAGCTATTGTAGTTCACTAACTATTTTGGGATAACTTTGGTTTCTTTTTCTGGGATATTTCAAAGGAAAAGCTGCATTTCTATTTAAAGTTTCTGCTTAGAAATCAGGCTGGCACAGATTGGTGCTACATAAGAGAAACAAAGACTTTATTTACTTTTTTCATCTGTCCCTCTCTGCTAATTTTATAATTCTTCTGCCTTAAGCAAGTTTCAAGTCAGCACAGTAAGCACATAGAATGCATCAAAAAACTAAAGGCAAGCTAAGCACGTGTGAGGTGCATCATGCTTTGTAAAAGAAGCACTGGAAAGTTTTTATTATTGAGCAAAGTGAGGTCTGAACCTAAAAGGGATTTTTAAAAGCTGCTGTATCACAAATAAACAGCCTGCAGTTTTGCTAGTCTTGGTGCAGAGAAGGTTACCTGCTGATAGAGCTGGCAGGACTTTTAGGGAAAATCTGGGGGTTCCCTGACTCTCTAATTAAACCACTGCACAACAGGAGAATAATCTGCATATTTCAGCAAGTCATCAGCAAACTCACTCATGCAGTTGGAAGGAGATCCCAGCCTTGCAAAGTTTGTTAGTATCTGCTATGCAAAAGGCAGCTCAATTCAGCACAACACAGCTCCATCCCACTGAACCAGAAATCATCGTGCTCATCCCGAGGCACACCCTCTGCAGCTCCATGGATTGTGCCTCACACTTGGGTAAGCATCACCTCCTCAGGCTCCTGAGCACCCACCCCTGGTGGACATCTAATAGTTTCAACCCCTGGCTACCATCAACGTCAAACAGCTCCGACCCGGAGACAGTGCCCGTCAGAGGGCACATCTGACCATTTGGAGAGGGCACAAAACAAGATGCATCTGGCTTTTCAGCCACCACAAACTGCTGAGCCATCCAACCTGATTAGTCTGCTCTTTGATCACCCAAGCCTTACACAACTACTGTTGCAGAAACTACCAATGGCTACGTGCTCCTGGGCAGAGAGGGAACCGTGTGTGGATCTCTGCCAAAGCGATACTGGAGGAGCTGGAGAGCATCAGCTCCTTCCCCATGGGATGGCAGAGCTCCTGGCAAGCCATTGTTAGAGTCCAGCCTGAGATGCAGCTCATTCATCAGATCATAATTATCTGCAGCAAAGCCTTGGTGCCTGGTGGGCATCCAGTGATTGTCTATTTCTGTAAGAAACGTCTGTTTTGAATTACAGAATAGGAACCAGAAATGTCATGGTGGATACTGAGCACAAACTTTTGTAATCTGACCCTCCCAAAAGCATTCCCCTCACTTTATTTTTCTGTGGTCCCACTTCAAACGCCACTATCCTCTTCGATTTTCATCACCTCCTTTATGCTTTTGAAGATATCAAACTAACATTTCTAACATTCCCAAAGCTTCATCTTAATCCCACAGGACTAACATTACATCAATTTCTCGGGTGGATGTACTATGGTCACACAGAAAGTCATCAGGCAAAATCCAGAGCTCCCAGTTTCCCTTTCTAGTCCTTACAAGGCATTTCCTCATTTCCTCAAAGAAGAACTCCTTTTATTCTGAAATCTTTGTTGAGCATGACAAGGGAAAAAGAATAATGAAAGCACACAACACACATGAAACTTAAAGGTCAAACTGTGATCTCAGATTTGGAAAACATCCATCACTCTGCTCAAAACCACGGGCAACAGGCAGTTTCAGAAGAGCTTGGCAATGTACATTGTAGAACAGAGATAAGAATCTGGCATTTTGTATGCAAATATGAGTCTGAGTCCTGATTTACCTTCCCTGGTGTGAGAGTCAGTAGATGTTACCAAGTCCAAGTTAGCTGCTTCTGATCAAAATGAAAAACATTCCCCTGAGCAGATGTGTTGGCAAGGCACTAGGTAGCTTCATGTTACAGGTCTCTATCTCATCTTTGACTGTAACATTGGCTTTAGAAAGGTCATAGACTTTGTTTTCTGTCTTCATGACTAATTTATTTTCCTTAGTTCCTCCCGCAGGCTCTTGGAACTCCTCTTTCTTGCCCACAAAC